GTTGCTTAACCATAGTGTTTCGAAAACTATTGTGTCGATCGATCGTCGTGTTTTTGTTTCCTTCGAATCCTGATCACCGTGAGATCCAGTGGAAATTGGAATATTGGATATTTGGTACCATCCAGGAAGTTGAGAAAGGTAAGAATATTTGTTGTTTTTTTTTATCTGAATCATTGTACGGGAGTTTCACGTTTGAAGAGTGTTTGAAAAGTAGGATTTTTTTTTTAGATCTTCGTTTGAACGATTGTTGCGAGTATATTTCGCGAGAAGGAATGAAATCGGAGATTTTGTGTAAATTGTGGTATTTTGAGGTAGGGAATACGGTATTGTTATTTTTTAGATTTTTTTTTTCAAATAATTTTTATTTTCAGTGATTTTATGGCCTAGGATGAGTTAGGTAATTTAAATTCCTTGCGTAATTGCGAGGGCTTTTTGTGAGTAAGAATAAGAATTGCTTAGATTTCTACGTTTTTCAGTAGTGTTCAATAGTAGTGTAATTTTTCCAAGAAGTAGAATTTATTTGATATATTTGTTTTGTTTAATTATTGTTTAAATAATACTTTGCGTAAAAAAAAATAAGAATTGTTTGAATTTTTTATCTTATTTTCAATGGTTTTCTCATGAATGTTATTGTGCATTCCTGAAGTAGAATTTATTTTTAAATTTATTTGAGTAGTATTAAAACGTTTTTTTAAAAAATGTGAAACTTTTTTTAAATTATTTAATGTAAGTGTTGCAAAGTTGGAAAGTGAATTTTTTATTTAGAGAAAGGCGCGCGATTTCAAAATTCTAGATAATGAGCGAAAAATATATTACTAATATTCTTCGATTCGAAGAATATTTTACAATCATCGATTTCACAAATTTGATAAATTAAACTAGGTTTTCTTTTTTCAAGAACACAAAGTGAATAGATATTAATATTAAATAGATTTCTTTTTTTTAATTTATTTTATTTATTATTGTAATAGTTTATATTACAAGAAAAAAATTTAAAAATTCATGATATTATATCGATCAGTGCATAAGACGTAGTATTATTTCTTTATCACTATAATTAAACATTAACAGACCGGAACTACCGTTAGTTTTCTATTTATTACACGAGAAATAGTTCTTTTTACAATATAGCAAACATAAAAAATTCAATATAATACAAATAAACTTTTCATAGTTCTATTTTTATTTATTGATATTGCGTATAATATTGATTTCAACAAAGTATTAAATAAATTGAAAACTGTATTTGCATTGCTTCATTTATTCAATTCCAATAATAAAATTATATCCTTCTGGGATGCTGTTAGTAGGTGTGCATTACATAAAATCTCGATTACTTTTTTATTATCCACGTTTTTTATATCGAATTGTTTTTATAGACCACTTATTTCTGAATCGTTATTACATTTAATTCCGTATAAGTTCTGATTTTATTTTATCGCTTTTTTTCTATTACAAAATTTGTAATATTTGATTTCAAATTTAAAATCTAGATAAATTAAATTATTGGAATCATACACCTCTATTGTAGATTTTGTATCTGTAAGTATCTTTTATAGGATAAAACCAAAAAGAATCGTATAAAATATCGAACCTAATATTAATATTAAAATAACTATTAAATTTCAACTATTCGTCCCGATAAAATTTATCTAAAAAGTATCAAGAGTGCACCGTAAGAGGATGAGTTTAGAAATGTATTTTTATCGTATAATTTTTCAAAAATAGATTAATAGATCGTTACACATTAGTAAGTGTTCTATACTGTAAATTTTAAAAAGTGTTTCCGCCATATCAATTTATAAAAAAATATCTTTCATATGATAAAACTCAAAAGAATCATATAGGATACAATATCAAATTTTCTAATTGAAGAAAATTCACAAAGGAACCATTCGTTCTGATTAATATTTATTTTAAATCAAGGTATCAACTTGGTGGAAGAATTATCATAAGAGAATGAGCCTTCGTTGGATTCACGAGAACTTGGAGGCACCGACATGCGACGAGGAATGCAGCGACATCGATGACAGTTGTAGCGACGATAGCTACGATTCCGATCTATCGATCGGCGAGGAGAAAGGGCCGGGTAGCGAAAAGGAGATCAATGGGGATCGTAGGAGGAAAAGGGAGACCAGGAGGCATCCGACCACTACAGTGAAGTTCGACGAGAACGGGTATTTTGCCGATAATTACGAGCTGTCGATAGCCGAGAATAAGATCGAATCTTCGTTACGTTGTTCGGGCATTAATCGAGTTACGATTCGATGGTAAACTTTAATTGATAAGGTGGCTTCGTTTAAAAAAAAAAAAGAATTTTCTAATTAAAATTCAATCTGATATTTAAATTGCTGAAAATTAACTTGTTGCTCTTACGGGGAATCTGGTGGTATCTAATAATTAATTACGCCAAGGATAGAACGTATTGAGATTTAACTATTCTCTGTCTGTTTCTGTTTAGACCATTTTCATTTATGAATAAAATTCAATTTTGCTTCGTTGTTTATGCTATTCTCGATTCAATCGTGTATGTATTGTATTTAAAGAATTTTTTAAATTAATTTTTATTTTCAATATCTTATATTACAATATCAGATAATTGAATTATTCGCCTTTGAGAATGCGAATAGATTTGAGAGTAAAACTTTTACGAGTTGCTCTCGAGAATCATTTTAATTATTGGATATTATTACTTTTACGAGTAACTCATTGTGAAAGCCTTATTCTCAAATTTTCACATTCTTAAGAATAATATCATAAAGTATTTCTGGTATTAAGAAATTGATGCAAGAACGAAGCGAATCCATTGTTTAACAAAATTGTATTTGTTTTTTTCATTTTGTGTTCATATTGCCCGTTGATTAATTTAAGAATTAGACAAATCCAATGCGTTAACAACTTTGAATCTTATGTGATCTTTGAGAAAAAAAAAATCGGCTATTATCAAGGCTTAATTGATTGTAATGATCTGATTGGAAAATGAGGTAAAAAAATATAAACAAGATAAAATCTATTAATTCAACGTATGTTAAAAAACATTTTAAACAATATTCTGCTCATGAGATAAAAAAGCTGTTTAATTATCCGTTCGATTAATCCCCGGTTAACGATCTATAAATTAAAACGTCACGAAGATTGATAAATTTAAAGCGACTTTACGACGGTGTACGAGGCAGAAAATAAATCTAGTTAGATGATCGATGAACTCGTTACGGTTCCTTGTGCAACAGCGTCCAGCGTCTCCGTGCTTTTGTTTACCATATAATAATTATCCTTTAACCATTCGTTTCTCTTTTAAAAAAACTTGAAAGCTTTGTCCATTGACCCTTTTACTCACACGACATGCATTGATTAATTTCACCTTCGAGATTCGATAGGAGCGTAGGGGACTATATGAATAATAGGAAATTTAAAACTGTTAACTTCTTGCGGTACGCTAGATGGAGAATTAATTCAAATGATTAATGAACGCTTATTGCAGGAGCACGTTAGGGGGAAATTACGTCTGCGAAGTTATTGTTCGGTTCGCTCACGTAGAGACCCACAGTAAATTGCGTTTTATCCTTCTGCCAATGTCTAAAATTCGTACGGTGTTTCTCAGATCTTCGTGTCAATGTGAATAAACGGATTAAAATCGCGTTTGATCGCGTTTCAATCAATTTTGATAGTTTCATTAGAAAGAATCTCAAGTAAACGTATTTGAAAATACATTTGTTCAAAAAAATTATTTCTATCTTTGTGTTCCAATATTGTTCTCGACTTTTCTTGTTTTCGATAAAACGTAAAATGTAAAATTGGAATCCAAGAAGTTCCACTAAATGTTTTTCTCAAAATTCTCGGACAGAACTTGTAAGTGAACGATAAAATATGATAGCGTATTATTTCCCTCGACGTGTTGTCATATTTCACTCAATTCTCTTTGCAGCATGGAAAGTAATGTAGAATGTAAAAAGTATCGTACTTCTTTCACAGACAAATATTTCAAGATGTCAAGATGTTTTCCTGGTAAAATTCAATAAGTTCAAAAGTAAACCCAATCTGATAAATTTTATTTTCCAAAATAATCCAACGATAACGATACAATAACATGCTATATAATTCCCTAATATTCTACGTAATTTTTACGTGATGTTTTGTTTAAAAAAGGCGCAAAATACCGTGACACCTTGAAATTACAAAATTGACGAAGAGCTCCATCAGCCACCCCACGCAACGATATGGGATATGCATTCATTGATCACTTGATTCGATTAACTTTCTGCTCTATATTGTTGCAGGGTCACTAGGTGTAGAGAGTAGGTACGGTTCACGTTATATTATTACCGGCATTCGAGCACCGTGGCAACCGACGAGACTGCAATTCCGCGCGAATTGCATTAAAGTACGCACGCACGACATGTGTAACACAAAATTAGGATCGACGTTTATGACCGTGTATGCTCGAGTTTCAACAAATAGATCGTAGCACGTTCAACGTGTAATTAACGGGGGCGTATTTGCGCAATGTCAAGACGTAATCATTTTTAAGGTCGGTGAATTTCAAACAGGAATATGTGTTTCATAGAGAAAAATCTTTACTTTGTATTTGATTGCATTTCGGTTAAAATATATGCAGGATTTTGAGACTTTTCATTCGAAAGGGATTAATTATTGCAAATAAGATAATAAATAAACTCATTTAGAAATTTAGAAACTCAATGGAAATTTTTGCAAATAAATATTAATAAAATCACTATTCGCGACACAGTATATCCTTTATGATGATGATATTACTTAATTTTCGTGAAATTTTGTTGTATCCAATGAAAATGATAATATTATTTGTTATATTTTTTTCATATTATACAGAAGCAATATAATCAAAATATTTCTCTTTAAACATCGATAGAGAACGATTAAAATCTTAGAGAAATATTGTTACTTGCTTATAATTTGTTTTGATAAATTTTTAATTATTTTGAATAGTGATATAAAAATAATCAAATTTCATCTTTCAGATTAAAAGATGTTGAAGACATGAAAGATATTTGGATCAAAGAAGGATATAAATTCGATATCTTCCAATTTTAAAAATTATATCAATCTTCCAGTCTACATAAAGTGCTCTTCCTTGAATTCAAGAAAATTATTAGTGTACTTTTTATATCTCGATTGATTGATACCATTAGGTTGATTATCGTTGGTTGATGCGCACCGCTTGTCGAATAAAGTCTGCTGGCATTGCGTTCCTTCCCCTCGAGCATCTGTTTAAAATTAACGGGGTTGGAAAACGTCTACGGTGTAACGAAGCACGCTTCATTCACGAAGCTTGCTGACCTGAAAAGTCGATCGGCCCATTTTTCCAAACGTAATGATATGTTATAAATAGCACGCCTCCTGTCACTTCGTATCAGATTCATGTTCTACTACATCGTACTTTGTCTTCGCCACCATTGTTTGGTCAAGAACAATATTCTATCATTTAAATATAAATTCACCATTGTGAAAATGGAAATTTTTTTAATTTATCGAATAATAAAAATTGAAAGTACGAATAAATAAATCAAGTTCTTCGATCTTTTTAAAATAATATACGTCATATTTTTTTTAAAGAGAAAGAGAGAGAAATTTAAACGAATTGTCATGTAATAGTTTAAAAAGTTTCTCTCTTTAAGAGAATTGTTAAAATTAAGTGTATATTTATGGATTTGGTATTTACGTTTATAGACGCCAGGTGCGTGTTTGAAGACTCTAAATATTGAATTCTCTCTTACAGAACTTCGCATTACATCACGTCGGAATCGGTTAAACGCTCTCCTTGCGTAATATGGGATCCTAGGAAACCGGCACAAAATCCTGTGTACAATTGTTTGGTAATCAAATTGTTCTGTCGAACCGGATATCATCTCGGTGTGTCGGAGTCCGGTCGTGTTCGAGGCTTGAGTGCTACGAATGAACCACATGGTAATATTAAATGGGAAATATTGAAAATATTGAAGTATTTAAATTTTAATTTTTTTAAAAAGAATCGTATTTAATTTGCAGCTTTGCTTCATATCATACCGGTGTCGTTTGGAGTGGTACGAATACAAAATATCGAGACTAGTCTTTATCTAGCTTTCAACAAGAAAGGTCGTTTGTATGGAGAGGTAAGGCAAATAATGTAAAATTTCTATGCAAATATGTATTTTAATAATGAAATTTATATGTTCATATTTTTTGATTTCTTCAATAATCATTTTTATTTGAATAAAATGTGAATAAAAAAATTTTCTTTTGTGTTAATTTAATAATAAATTAATGAATATTCATATATGTTAATTTTTTTTTTTTTCTAGTTAAATGGAAATAAAGATAATACTGAATGGGAACAATGGAACGTTGGTTCTTACGATGCTTTTCGATCGCGAAAGTATGCGAATTATGGATGGTGGATAGGAATAAAGAAGAATGGTCGTGCGAAACCAGGACCAAGAACTAGTTGGGGCCAAAAATCGATACAATTTTTAGCTATACGACAAGAATAATTTCTATGAACATTTTATATATATTTACAATAAATTATATAGAGATGGTTATTTGAATTATTGACGAAAGAAAATAAAAAAAATAAAAATTTAAATTTAAATGAAATAAATTAAGTCAAATGACAAATCAAATGCATAATACGAATTAATATAAAACTTTGTAATAAATGTAATTTTTTACTAACAACGAAAATCAAATGTTCTCAACAGGAAAAATATACAAATTCGTTACTTTCTATGAGAAATAAATAATTGTTTTCCAATAGAATATAATGTTTATTATAACACTGTGTTACTCAACAATGGATTGTGCATTCTGCTTGTGCCCTTCAACTGAAACTTCAAGTTGCAGTTTTAAAATTGCAATACATTTTTTTTTTTTTTTTCTATCAATTATAATCGTTGATCGATCATGCTGCAGGCAA